AAAAAAAAACAAAACGCATGGCCCATGTACCATACAAATAGGTACAACTATCTTTTCTGTGCCCATATAAAAGGAAAAAGAAAGAAAATGTATTTTTGAGTGAACGGGTACGCAAGAGCAAAAAATGCCGCGCTTTCGTAATGTACCAATATTTCCGTCCGGCCGCCCACTGCTGTTAATGAGGGGATTAAATAAAGTACATAAAGCGAAATGGATGGGAAAAACGGAACAACAATACCTGCGCAGATATTTAACCGGACCTGTTACATATGTTTGGCCGCGCTAGACTGCCATTGTGTCGCGTGCAATTTATTCACGCAAGGAACCATGTCTGTCCCCATTTTTTTCGCTTTCACAAAATAGTTGGCCCTACCAGCGCATGTCTTATCATTTGAGGGGACAACTCGGATGTATCCTTATTTTTTTGGGGGGGGAGGGGTGTTCCCCATAGAGAATGTAAACATTGCTCACATTTTTCATGTAGCTGTTGGGTAAGTGGCTCATAAATGATGTGCACAGAGGTATAGGACATTTTGCAAAACATTTGGTGGCACGACCCTTTTTCGTGTTATTTCCCCTTTTTTAAACCAAACAAAATGTGAACGGAAATTTTCCAACTCACCTTACCTCCTCCCAGTTAATAATTTACCTTTACATTGTCTAACTTCGTGGTCGTGGAGCAACACTGCATTGTAGGGTTGCCTGGGTAGAGCGTGACTATTTATATGCATTGTTCCACCTGCACGGGTATCATTACCAAAATGAGAGTCAAAGAAGAAAGGAACCCTCCTACCACCCAGATCCATGAAAAATCCATTCTATATTTTTAACAAGTTAAGCGCGCGGAGAAAAAAGAAAAAATAATAATAACATAACTGCAAAGAATTGAACACAAATATTTTTCCCCTGGTGGGTATCGCCACATGGGATGTTTCGGCTGGATAATTGTCACGGAGTACAATACTTTTTTCGAGGTGAACGATATGTTAATTTTGTGGCGGGAACCTTGTCACTCCAAACGGTAGTGATGATATGGGCTGCCCTATTTTTTTTTTTTTTTTTTTTTTTTTTTTTTTTTTTCAGTGGGCGATTTCCCGTCGCACGATTCTTACGTTGAACATACATTCCATTTCGTGCCTTTTTGTTGCCCCTCTCTTTGGTAATTAATCCGGAGGAGGTAATTTATATGGTCCCACCCCTTCTCAAAAGGTTTTTCTGTTTTTTTCATGTTCGTGGATTTTTCCGTGGACTGGATGAGGATGCGATATTCCTCACAACTGTGACGATTTATTATTATTATTTTTTTTTTTTTTTGTACATAATCGAAACAAGTCAAAGGGGTAGTGGCCCAGCGGGAATGATCATACGTGTGAGCGTGCCTGTTCATGTACCTACGCACACGCTATATATATACACGTACTATGTACCTAACCTACTAACAAAGGGAGAGTTCCCTTTTTTCCCCTTGCTCCTGCCCCCGTAACTCCACGCCGCACAGATGTTCTTCTTTAGAAGAAAGGAAACCCCCGCCCCGGAAGCGCAGGGGGAAGACAAAAAAGAACAGGCCAAGGAGAAGGACGAAGAGGTAACCCAAGAGAAGACTCAAGGGAAGGCCCCAGTTACCAACCCCTTTCAGAACATTCGAAAAGATAGCCACGAAGGCAAGACAGAAAACGATTTGCTGCAACATGATGGTGAAAAGGAAGAACAAGGAAAAAGGAAAAAAGAAAAAAAAAATAGGTTAGAGGAGAAGAGACACTCAGGGGAAAAGTCCCAAGATGAGGAGGAAACTGACGATGAGCTAGCCACCCAAATGGGAAACGGCGCAGACAGTGAACATATAAACGGACAAGCAAGTCACACCAAAGTTGCCCTAGAGGGAGGGACACCCCCTAGTGGTAACCATGTCCGAAGAGACACGTACAGATTTATTCCCAGTGGAATGATAAAGAAAAAAATCAACCTGTACAGTTCATCCAGCTCCTCTGACGCCTCTTCGAATGAAGATCTATTTAGCGGTAAAATTAAAAGGAAAGTGGAGACCTCTGAAGGGGAGGAATATGACCAAATGAGGAAGAAGGACAGAAGGAAGGAAACCCAACGAGACAATCACGTCAGTAGTCGTACTACTAACACCAACGCAGTTAGTGGGAACAGCAAAATTTTTGCCAACCTTAGCAGTGGGGGTGAGAAACTCATGTTCTTAACAAAAAGGGACAGAGAAGAAATGAAGCGAAAGGCGGACAAAAGAGAAAATGAAAGAATTCCTATGGAGGAGGAAGACCATCCCAGGAGCAGAAAGTTCCAGGGGAAAGAGGTCGAAGACACAAAGCGCAGGAGGAGGGATATCGATACCAAGACCGACTCGAAGGATGATGATAGGCATAGGCTAAGGAGGAACTCCGAGTCAAATGAGGAGGTAAGGAGGCGGAAGATGTCACATAGGGACTCGTCCGAGGAGCACAGCGACGGAAGAGATGGAAGAGGCAGAATTGATGTGGACAGCCGTTTCAGCGCGCATAGTCCGTACACGAAGGTGGAGTCGTCCCTGGCAGAGCTGAACATGCTTAACATCAGCGCCATCGAACGAGAAAGCCAAAGGGAAAAGGAGTTAGAAATTATCAAGCAGCAATACTTAGGGCTAAACAAAAGAAAGAAGAAGATGCAAAAACCATCAGAGAAATTTAGAAACATTTTCAACTTTGAATGGGATCAATCGGAAGACACCTCCAGAAATGACACCAACCCCTTATACCAGAACAGGCTAGAGCCTCAGTTGCTTTTCGGGCGAGGGTACATTGCAGGTATAGATGTCCGAGAGCAAAGAAAGAAAAATAATTTCTACGATAAGCTAGTGCAAAATAGGATTAATTTTAGTGTGAAGAAAGGAGCGATGGAAGATAATTCCCTCAAAAAGGAGCTCCATCATAGAAGCGGCACAAAGGCGGGTAGTAAAAGTGAGCATGGTGCTCCCCTCACCAGCGAGAATGGTGCATCCATCCATTTAGGCATGTCCGCCATGGCCAACACGCCGAACCCAATGGAACATCTAACGAACCCTAATAATCAATCCTTGAGTATAAGTAAAACGGGCGAATTTATATACGAACCAAAAGTTAACAATATCATCGTGGATGTTCATAACAAACACTGGAGTGAGAAAAAGAGAGAAGAAATGACGGACAGGGATTGGAGAATTTTTAGAGAGGACAACGAAATATACATCAAAGGAGGAATCGTCCCAGCACCCATCAGACGGTGGGAAGAATCCAACCTTTCTAGTGATTTATTAAAAGCTATTAAAAAGGCAAAGTATGAAAAACCTACTCCAATCCAGATGCAAGCTATACCTATAGCACTCGAAATGAGGGATCTAATCGGCATCGCAGAAACGGGTTCAGGAAAAACAGCCGCATTTGTCTTACCCATGCTTTCATACGTGAAGCAACTACCCCCATTGACATATGAAACGTCTCAAGATGGTCCATACGCTCTTATTATCGCCCCGTCCAGAGAACTAGCCATCCAAATATTCGACGAAACGAACAAATTTGCCTCCTACTGCTCATGTAGAACGGTGGTAGTGGTGGGAGGAAGAAATGCTGAAGCACAAGCATTCGAGTTGAGAAAAGGAGCGGAAATCATTATAGGCACACCAGGAAGAATACAAGACTGCTTGGAAAAAGCATACACCGTCTTAAATCAATGCAACTATGTAATACTAGATGAAGCAGATCGAATGATGGACATGGGGTTTGAAGAATGTGTGCATTTCATTCTAGATAAAATACCAACCTCCAATTTAAAATCAGAAGACGAGGCTTTAGCATTACAGGAAGAAATGATGACCAAGGCTGGCCATCGTCTATACAGACTCACGCAAATGTTTTCTGCAACCATGCCCCCAGCCGTAGAGAGATTATCAAGGAAGTACCTCAGAGCCCCAGCCTATATATCCATTGGAGATCCTGGAGCTGGAAAAAGGTCCATAGAACAAAAATTAGAATTCACTACAGAAGGAAAGAAGAAACAAAAATTGCAGGAGATACTTGAAATGCATGAGCCACCCGTCATCGTTTTTGTCAACCAAAAGAAAGTGGCAGACATCATTGCTAAATCGATTAGTAAAATGAAATTCAGGGCTATTGCTCTCCATGGGGGTAAGGCACAAGAATTGAGAGAACAAACCCTCAACTCTTTTAAAAATGGAGACTACGATATTCTAGTAGCAACAGATGTTGCTGGGAGAGGTATAGATGTACACGGAGTCAAACTTGTTATAAATTTTGACATGCCTAAAGACATCGAATCCTACACACACAGAATTGGACGTACTGGCAGAGCCGGTATGAAGGGACTAGCCATTTCGTTTATCACCGAGCAGGATTCACATCTGTTTTACGACTTGAAGCAATTCCTCATATCTTCCAACAATATTGTACCCATGGAGCTGGCGAACAATCCTGCATCCAAAGTCAAGCCTGGCTCGGTCATCCACACCCCAAAAAAACCCCAAGTCATGTTTAAGGGCTAAAACACACGGGGGGGGGAGTGAGAGAAGTACCAACAGGAGAAGGAAGGGGAAAGGTGCATAGTTGCCACCCTGAGCGCTGGTTATGGGGAAGCATAAGTGGATATGCCCACACACAGCAGAACTACATGTTTGTGTTCCACCTTTATGTATATTCGAATATTCCGCGGAAACAATATCACAGTGTCGCGAACGGTTTTTTTTTTTTTTTTTTTTTTTTTTTTTTTCCATAGAGGGGTATCTACCGTGTGCGCAGACAAACTGAGTCCACCTACACATGATGAGGTACGCCTCCTTTTTACAAAGGACATTCATACACCGCTGTATCTTTTCCCCATCACGAGGCTCCGTCCACGTCGATCGTTTGCATACCGTTTTCGTTCCCCCCACGCGATGGGGTTATTTCCCTTAAGTCCGCTTACCAAATGAAGCTCTTTTTTTTTTTTTTTTTTTTTTTTTATGAAAGCGCCGCACGATAGAATTGGTCCCGCGGACAGCTTGCACGTGCGCACACGTATATGCGTGCGCGTTTTTGTTTTTTTTTTTTTTTTTTTTTTTTTTTTTT